TGGCAAAAAAACAGAGGGGAGACAAGGAGAATTGTTTTACCCAGAGAGTTATCACGGTCTGGGATGCACGGCCTGAAAGGATGGTGGAAGCAGATTCAATAATAGCTTTCAAAGAGGTATTAGATAGGTACTTAAAAAGGAATAATTTGCAGAGCTATGGGGCAAGAGCAGGGAGTGGAACGAGTAGGCAGCTTTTTGAAAGAGCCGGCACAGGCATGATGGGCCCAATGGCCTCCTTCCGTGCTGTAAAATGCTATGATTCTATAAGGCTGTGAATGGCTAAGATGACATGGGAGAATAGGGTAGAAGTGAAATATACATATTTTTAAGTGCTCGGGGCGAGCAATCAGGTCAGAGCGGAGGCGGAGCCTGGGCCTAGCAATCAGTATAAAAGGAGCGGCGGAGGTAAGCTGCCTCTGAACTGTCGGAGCGACGAAAAAAAGAAAAAGTGACATAGGTGTGACGTCATTTTTTTCAACAGCAGAACCAAGGACAAACATCAACAAACTGTCAGAAACTACAACACTGACAGCAAATTAAAACAAAAAAACAAAAAAAATATTGAAAACACTGAGTGAGAAGATGATGTGGCAAGTGAAATGCGAGGACTGTGACATGTGGTAGATAATGGAGGGCGCCCTGAGCCCGGGCGACTTCATCTGCAGCAAGTGCCTGCAACTCAGGAAGCTCCAGCTGAGAGAAACTGAGCTGGAAGCCGAGGTGCAGACACTGCGCACCATCAGGGACAGTGAGAGGTTCTTGGACAGTATGTTGGAGGAAACCATCGCTCCCCTGAGGCTCGGGAGATGCTTGCATCCAGTTAATGGTCAGGGACAGGATGTTTTCATCAGTCCTGCAGATAATGGGACCCCTGAGAGAGGGGTGATCAAGCCTTGGTCTTCAAACTTGATCAATGGATGTGAGTATTTGATGGACCAGACACCTCAAGAGGTGGTCACCCCACCCCACACACCAAGGGTTCAGACTGAAAATGACTGGGTGACTGTCCGGCATGGTAGGAAGAGGGAAGGGGCTAGGCAAAATGCCCCCAATAGAGTAGCACTCTCAAACCAGTACTCTGTACTGAACATTGAGAGTGTGGATATCTCCAGGGAGGACAGTATAAAACAATTGGTGGAACAGGGGGACATAGGTAACAGGAGTAATGCTGTTGTCATAGGGGATACAACAGTGAGAGGTATAGACCGACGTTTTTGTAACAGAAAACGGGAGTCAAGGATGATATGGTGCAACAGTCTTAGACATCGCAGAAAGGGTGGATAAAATTCTTCAGGGGGAAGGAGAACATCCAGAAGGGTGGTCCAGGTGGGGATCCACGATATTGGTAAAAAAAGGGCTGAGACTCTACAGGGTCAGTATCAAAAGCTGGGGAAGATACTAAAGAATTCAATATCTAAGGTGGCGATCTCTGGATTGCTCCCTGTGCCTCGGGCAAATAAGTATCAGAATGGCAGGATCAAGCATATGAATGCCTGGCTGGAGAAATGGTGCAGAAAAGAGGGCTTCAAGTTTCTGGATCATTGGGACCATTTCTGGGGCAGGTGGGACCTGTATCATTTGGATGGGTTGCACCTAAACAGGGGTGGGGCGAATGTGCTTGCAGACAGGCTACCTCATGCTGTTGGGGAGGGTTTAAACTAGTTTTGAGGGGGGAAGGGAATGCAAAAAACGAAGAGCTAGAAATGGAGAAATAAAACAGGGGGGAAGCGCAGAACAGGTCAAGTCGGTCTTGGAGTGCATGTGCCTAAATGCATGGAGTATAGCAAACAAGATTGGTGAGCTGCAGGTCATAGGGGGATACGATGTAGTAGCAGTAACAGAGACTTGGCTCAAGCAAGGACAAGAATGGGAGCTGAATATTCCTGGCTATAATGTATTCAGGAGAGATAGGGAAGGAAAAAAAGGAGGGGGTGTGGCAATCGCAGAAAGGGTTAGTCAAGGATACAGTTATAGCCGTGGAAAGGGTCGAGGTGCTGGAGGGCCCCAAAACGTTAAGGAAGAAAAAAGGAGCTGTTACGCTGGTAGTGGTATACCATAGAGCACCAAATAGTGGGAAGGAAATAGATGAGCAGATCTGCAAGCAGATCTCAGACAGATGCAAGGCCAATAGAGTCGTGATAATGAGCGACTTTAATTATCCCAAAATAGACTGGCAAATAAAAGGGCAAGGAGGGGCAAATATTCCAACAATGCATACAATACAACTTTCTTGATCAGTATGTTTCCAGCCCAACAAGGTCTAGTTCTGGGGAATGAAGTAGGGCAAGTGGAGCAGGTTTCAATGGGAGAGCATCTGGGTAACAGTGATCATAACATCATTAGATTCAAAGAGACAAGGAACCATCTAAGGTAAAGGTATTCAACTGGAAGAGGGCAAATTTTAGTGAGTTAAAAAGGGACCTAGCCAAGGTGGACTGGAAAGAAAGATTGGCAGGTAAAACAATTAAAGAGCAGTGGGAAGTCTTCAAGGATGAGATAGCTCAGGGACAAAATAAATACATTCCCACAAAAGGGAAAAGTAGGGCTTCCAAACCTCCCTGGATGACGAAAGTAATTGTATTTAAAATGAAGCAGAAAAAGGAGGCGTATGACAAATGTCAAACCCAAGATACAGAAGACAACCAAATCGAATATAGGAAGTGCAGAAGAGGATTGAAAAAGGAAATAAGAGGGGCAAAAAGATTGTACAAAAAAAGGTTAGCGGGTAACATTAAAGGGAATTCTAAAATATTTTACAAACATGTCAAGAAAAAAGGCTAGTCAAAGGTAGGGTGGGGCCAATTAAGGACCAAGGGGGAAATCTTATTGTGGAGGCAGAGGGCATGGCTGATGTGCTGAATGAGTACTTTGCATCTGTCTTCACAAAAGAAGTGGATGCACCAAATGCCGTAGTATCAGAGGAGAGGGTAGAGGGAATGGATAGGATAAGTATAAACAAAGAGGAAGTACTGAAAAGGTTGACTGCGCTGAAGGTAGATAAGTCGCCCGGTCCGGACGAATGCAACCAAGGTTACTATGGGAGGCACGGGTACAAATAGCGGAGGCTTTGGCTACAATTTTTCAATCTTTGTTGGACACAGGAGTGGTGCCCGAGGACTGGAGAGTGGCCAATAATAATAATAATAATCCTTGGATTTGATATAGCGCTTTTCACGTCAGGAGGACGTCCCAAAGCGCTTCACAGAACACACTGTAAAGTGAATTGACTGTATATTTGTGGGCGAACGCGGCAGCCAATTGCGCACAGCAATGTCCAAACAGTCGTAGATTGAAAATGACCAATTTATTATTGTTTTGGGTTTTTGGAGGGATTATTATTAGGCGTGTGGAGTAAGGAAACTTGCCCAAGGTTTCGCCCTCTGCCTGGAATTGAACTCAGGTCTCTCACTTGCAAAGCGAGTGCTCTAGCCACTGAGCTACAGGACTCCTCAATGTGACTCCCCTGTACAAAAAGGGACAGAAGGACAAACCTGGGAACTACAAGCCAGTCAGCCTAACATCAGTAGTGGGGAAACTCCTGGAGACTATAATCCGGGACAGAATAAATCTTCACTTAGAAGAATATGGTTTAATTAGGGACAGCCAACATGGATTTGTTAAAGGCAAATCTTGTCTAACAAATCTAATAGAATTTTTCGATGAGGTAACGGAGAGGGTGGATAAAGGTAGTGCAGCTGATGTAGTTTATATGGACTTTCAAAAGGCATTTGACAAAGTGCCACATGAAAGACTTGTAAGAAAGATAGAAGCCTATGGTATAAAAGGGACAGTGGCAGCGTGGATCCAGAACTGGCTGGAAGACAGAAAGCAGAAAGTTGTGGTGAACGGCTGCTTTTCTGACTGGAGGGAAGTGTACAGTGGCGTTCCCCAGGGCTCGGTATTAGGACCACTGCTCTTCTTAATGTACATAAATGATCTGGACTTGGGTATAGCAAGTACCATTTCCAAGTTTGCGGACGTCACAAAGTTAGATAGGGTAGTAAACAGTGAGTAGGATAGGAGCCAATTGCAGGAAGACATAGACAGAATAGTAAAATGGGCGACACATGGCAGATGAGTTTCAATGTAGAGAAATGCGAAGTAATGCATTTTGGTAGAAAGAATGAGGGGAGGCAATACAGGCTGGTAATACAATCTTAAGGGGTATAAAAGAACAGAGAGACCTTGGGGTGCAGGTAAATGAATCCTTGAAGGTGGCAGGACAGGAAGATAAGGCTGTAAAAAGGGCAAATGGGATTCTAGGCTTTATAAATAGGGGCATAGAGTACAAGAGTCAGGAGGTTATGATTAACCTTTATAAAACACTGGTTAGGCCTCAGTTAGAATACTGCACCCAGTTCTGGGCACCACACTATAGGAAGGATGTTAAGGCATTGGAAAGGGTGCAGAGGGAGATTTACGAGGATGGTACCAGGAATGAGGGACCTTGATTATGAGGAAAGGCTGGAGAGGCCGGGATTATTCTCATTGGAGCAGAGAAGGTTACGAGGAGACCTAATAGAGGTCTTCAAAATCACGAGGGGATTTGATAGGTTTGAAAGGGAAAGACTGTTTCCACTGGTGGGTGTGTCGGTGACTCGATGTCACAGATTCAAAACAGTCTCTAAAAGAAGCAGAGGGGAGAGGTGAGAAGACATTTTTTTGACGCAGCGAGTTGTTCGAATCTGGAACCCATTGCCTGAAAGGGCGGTCGAGGCCGATTCGATAACTACTTTTAAAAATGCGTTGGATGGGTGTTTGAGGAGGACAGATTTGCAGGGTTATGGGGAAAGGGCTGGGGAGTGGGATTGACATTAATTGCTCTATTCAAAGAGCCGCCACAAACTTGATGGGCCGAATGGCCTCTTTTTGTGCTGTACAATTCTATGATTCTATGAAAGGGCACTATAGAATTAATCCTTAATTTGTACAGCACTTCTATGGCAGGAAGGGAGAACTGTATTGTCTCCTTAAAGTATTTGAAAGAAAAACAGCCTTACCAGTGTGACTGTCCCGTTCATCGTGCCATTAAAGACAACCTTGGCTCGAATCCACTCCCCTGCAGCATCATTGTCAGCGATTAGATTTGCACATTGCCAACTTTTGCCCCAGCATCAGCATCATCAAAGCAATCAAAAACGAAAATGAAGACGCACATTAAAAACAGAGTTCAACATCTACTTATCCTCAATTATATATATTTTTTTAAATAAAGCACATGCAATAAGGGAATGGCAATTCAGCATAGTCTAGTTGGACCGCATGACCTGTTTTCATGCTGTAAATTCTATGCAATTCTACAAAACGTACTTAATGTGTGCATTTTCACCATCTTAAACACAACTGGACTGACGTTATAATATTCCATAGAATATTTGATCATATCTATTTGATTATACTTTCTTTCAGAACTTTCGATCCATATCTTGACTAAATAACTATCAACTTTAAGTAGCCTTTCAATCTCTAAATCTGACTAAGACAAACTAATTGGGGGCACAATTTTAGCATTTCACACATGAGAGTTCCACAACTAAGCCAGGCTTTCATGTTCACCAACACATTTCACAATCACTTTCCAGTAAATCCTGCAAAGTGATTTTAGACATCCTTCCAACTGAAAGGCTGAATGTATTAAATTTAAAGAGTATTAATAATTATTATGAATAAGTTTCTCGTACTGATCTTCAAACACAACAAACTCTAAAACTTTCAGTTATAATAATAATCCATGCATTTGATATAGCTCCTTATCACACTCCTTATTTGAGATGTCTCAAAGCGCTTCACAGAATATTCTGCAAAGTGAATTGACTGTATATTTTCTGGGCGAAATGTGGCAGCCAATTGCATACAGCAGTGTCCCACAATCAGTCGTGGATTGAGTGACCAAATTATTATTTTTCTTTTTTGGACTTTTTTTACCCCCGGAAAAGTGATCCGCCAATCAACTAACAACCGGTGATAGAAGCAATGGCTTGGGGAACAAAAACAACAACATTTATATAGATCCCTTCACATAGGACAATGAGTAGTGTTAGGTATTTTTAGGAAATAATGAAAGATGTGAATTATGATACCTTGAAAGCCAAATCAATTTTTAAACATATCAACCAAAACAAATTAACTCTCCGGTATTAGAGTTACCTTTATAAATATTTCATTACCCCTCTGCCGAGCTGCAGTATCACATTGATTTAACAGTTGTAGCTGTTAGCTTCTAATCTTCGCAAAAGGAAACATGATCGTATAGCAGCAAGTATTATATTTTTCCAGTGTTTGAACCCAGTTTGCATTGCAGTACAAAGATGGGATCAATAACTCCTCTCAAATTCTATCAGTTCCACAAAGATTTTAGTAAGCCATCAAGGCTGATGTCTCGTATTGCAATTAGCTATGAAACTATCCTAGAGGGTCATGTGTAAAATCTGTTCTTAACAGCCTACATTTAGTTGGCCCTTATAGGTATTATATAAAATGGACTTTTAATTAGAAATACTTTGCGATACATCTAATTATAACCTCAATACTTCTGGGTGCACACAAAGTATGAGTCTTTGATACCAAAAATGACCCAGACAAAGCAAAAGTATTTAACTTCTAAGTCGATGCAGAGTTCGAGATAAGTCAAATTAGATATCAAAACAGAGATCCTGCCAATCCTTTCTGATTATTCGGATGGTTCATTAAGAATCCCATAAAACTACAGAAACCTCTCCCAATATTCTGGCCAATATTCCTCAGTGAAATACATGTGAAACAGTAAAATGCAAATTCACAAGATTATTGGACCATTTCTCTCCATTCTGGTGCAAACCCAGTGTTAGAGGAACGAGCTATGAGCAATGATTATACAAGCTAGGGCTTGAGAGAAGATGACTCAGAGAGGACCTCATAATGGAGCATATTTTAAATGTGATTGATCAAGTAAACCCAGATTAAAACTCAAAGATGCAAGAAAACAGTAGAATAAGAATTGTAAAGGGCAATTTCAGGATAGACCCCAGAAAGTTTCTCTTTACAGAGGGTAATGTTGCCAGGAAAGCTGGTTGAGGCCAGGATATTGGACTCATTTAAAAAGCAGCTCAATGCTGTGATGGGGATGGTAGGGTGGGTGTTCTGGAGGAAGGAGGTCAAATGGCCAAAAGGCTTTCTTCATCTAGACCAATCTTGTGAATAGCTACCATGCTTGTCTAAAATCACAACACTTCAAAGTAACCCATTATATAAAGAATGCTTTCAACGTGTAAATCAAACATAAATTTTTATTTATTATGTGTAAAAACAACTTACCGTGATTCATTTGACGAGTAAATAACCAATGAACGTCCGGCAATACTACGAGGTCCAAACAGTGCCATGTTGGTGTCTATATGCTGTTGGAATGACTGTTTTAGACCAGATAATGTTCCAAATTTACCACTGATATCACCAACTTGATACTGATCAGCTGTACCATTGCCTGGTGCAGGAGACAAAGACATATTCACAGAGAATGGGTTGTAATGCCCTTCAACATTGGCGTCAGAACATGCCGAAGAGCCATTCTTGATGGGAAGAGTATTTATGAAATAATTTTTTGCGTTTCCATTTATATCCATTAAATTCGTCTGAATGACAGTGGGATCCAAATTGGAAACTTGTTTGAATGTTACATTTCCATTTAGTTTTCCAACACCCATCCATGCATCAGTCCTCAATTGAACTGAGTGAAGGAGGGTTAGGTTTGCACAAGCTAACCGGGTAGATGAGTAATTTTTTCCGTGAATAACTACTGATCTGGGGAAAATGGAACGTTGTCCATCAAGCGCTGAAGTGGTATCAGTAAAAAAACTCTTGGTATTAACAGTTCCAGTGCGGTTAGGCAGATTTATTGCTTTATGTTTACTGGCATAGTCTCCAATTTCACACCTGAAAGGGCTTTCAGGACTGCACTCCGTTTTATAAAGATTTTTAACGTCTACTTTGAAAGGGTTAAAATGCCCCATGGTAGTTGAACAAATACTTGTGTCAGAATCTGATTCTGAACTAATAGGATATTCATGGACATGCCAGTTATGACCATCTGTGACTAAGGCGGACGAGTTGACATAAGAAAGTTCCAAAAAGATAGTTACATCTGAGTAGGGATTGTTTGCCAATTGTTTAAACATTATTCTTCCTGCCACAGGGCTTGTAAATATGGCTACTGCAGTTTTGACCTCTCCTGGGTATCCAATACTGCCGCACAGCCAACGAGAACTATTGGGGTGGTGGATGACCACCGAACGACCAACAATGCTGTTGGTCCCAAATAAAGGGAGATTCCAGTCCTTGAAGGTTTTTTCAAACTCATTCATATCAGCTAAAGAGCCATGCCTTCCACTCAGATCTCCTACTTCATAGTGATCATGGGTCCCATTCGGGAATTTGGGATAGGAGGTGCTGGATGTATCTAAGCCAAATGGATTCCAGTGTCCTCCTAGGTTATCATTGCTACAAAGCATATCTTTTGCAGTACGCTGTTGTGGCACGGGAAAATTATGGACATGGTATGCTTTAGCCAGCTTGTTCAGGTTTGTCAGAAAAATGGTGAAAATTGTAGGATCAAATGGAGATATTTGGCTGAAATTTAAATACCCCTTGACACCTTTCATGCCTATGACAGCAGAAACCCTCTTTGCTTCCAGCTGCCTAAGTTCAGCACAATGCAATGTTCCATTGTCGTTCATGACCAGAAACTTTTCTGGAGTCCCTGTTGTTAAATTGACCCCATCGTTTCGAAATCTTCGAGCATTTAAAGGGGTACCGACTTGGAACTCGCCCAGGAGTACCCGATTAGATGTCGCGTTGTCTTGTGCCCCCTCAACACAAGTCTGTGAAAGGTACAGAGATACGTTCTGAATGTGCCTACTGCTGTTGGTCACTCTGAGGTCTGTTAGAATTCTGGACGAGGTCTCGTTAACATTCTGGCGGATGTACACCTCACCGGCTACAGAGATAAAGAATTTCCCCTGCCAGGTCTTGGTGAGTCCGGATTTCTTTGTTACGGTGCCACATGCTCGGGAATCGGTTTGGCAATGGTGGATGATGACTGACAGATCTGACAAGGAAGATTCTGTCTTGAAAAAGTCGCTGTAATTCAGCGTACTGTGCATCCCATTCCCGACGAATCTATAGATCTCGCCACCGGTATTCGCCGGGCTGCAGGGGCTCTCGGAGTGACCGTACATGATTGGCAATTCGTGGATGGAAACGTTGACTTGAGCACAATCGCTCGTCAAATTGGTCGAGATCTCTTGTGAACCGGTGTCGAAGTCAACAGTGCCCCGGATTCCTGCCATGTTTATGCGAGCCGTGTAAAGTTCAGAAGACACTGATCCTGCAATAAAAAAATAAACACGCAATAAATTAATTTCCCAACTGGTGGTTGCTTCAGGACAAGGTTTGCATTTGACAAATACCGTGGGTAAATAACTACACCAGCAGCTTCCCCAGTCAGTAACGAGGGGGGGGGGGGGGGGGGGGGATAAAGCCTTAAATATTAATGCAAAACATCAAATTCAACAGAAAGTCTCCTGAAGGGCAATGTGAAGTAGAGTGACTGTGCAAATGAAAGCTTACTTACCCAACACTGTGACAAACAGTACACTCCACGAGAAAGACATGTTGCTGCTCTGAGTGACTGCTCCTCTCACAAGATGCGCTGTGTCTGTGTGTGTGTGTGTGTGTATATATATACACACACACACACACCAGGTACGACTTAGAGAGACTTCTGGGTTTGATTTATATGGTTAATAACAACCCTGAAGCGAGCGATTGGCCAGTGGAGACGTTGTTCAGCCCCCAATCTTGCTGTGGCAAAAAAAAATTTTAATTTTTTTTTAAAAAAACCCTTCAAACTTTCTCGTTTCCTTTATATATTTTTTTTGCAAAAAAAAAAGTAAAAACGCAAAGGTGGATTTTTTTTTTTCTTTTTTAGGTCAACGGCGTGGATTTTGTTTTCCGCACATTGCAAAGCAAACGTTTGGGATTCCCTCTCGTCTCGACTTTCAGCTCTGCGCCGCACATCGGTTTTCCCCCTTTTTTTTTTCTTGCGCGTTGTTTTGACCGTTTCTCTCGTTGTATAACGGCGACCGAGAAAGAAAAGGCTCTCATCGTTGGTGCAGAAATGTTGTCTGCGGTTGAGCTGCGGCCACTGTCAGTTGCATTGCTCATCGCACGAGTCATGTATTCCCCATCGGGACAGAAAGGAAAAAAAAATACTCTGAATGGTTTTTTTTTCTCTCTCTCTCTCGCGACGATGTTATAAAACACTGAAAGTTTACGAGTGTTTCTTAATGGTCCGAAAGAGCAATGCTGACGTGTTTACTCCACGACTTTTTGTGCAGTACTCTTTTGAGAGCATAAGAGGGCGATCAGAACTCATCACTGGTCACGTACAAAAACCCCAAACAATAATAAATTGGTCATTTTCAATCTACGACTGTTTGTGGGACATTGCTGTGCGCAATCGGCTGCCGCGTTCGCCCACAAATATACAGTCAATTCACTTTACAGTGTGTTCTGTGAAGTGCTTTGGGACGTCCTCGCGACGTGAAAAGCGCTATATCAAATGCAAGGATTATTATTATTATTATTATTATTATGATGTGCGGCTTATTTCTGTCAAAGCCCTTTTCAGTTTTAGTTTTGATCCATATTTTTTCTTGGGATTAAATACCAGTCGTTAAATTATCCATTGCACCAACGCAACAGTTTGATGGGATTTGATTCGATGGGATTTTAAAACCGCAACACCTGAAAATAAAATGCTGCACTCTTTTTGGTGTACATTAATACAGGTGGCAAAGGGTTTTCATTTTTGATTAAAAGCTATGGCAGTCTATATTCCCCCAAAATTGGTCACTCAATCCACAAACCGCTTGTGGGACGCTGCTGTGCGTACTTGGCTGCCGCGTTTCACCCACAAAATATGCAGTCAATTCACTTTACGTTGCACAAAAGGCAAAATACCACTGATGCTGGAAATCCGAAATAAAAATATAAGTTTCTGGGAACACGCAGCATGTTAATGTTTCAGGTCGATGTTTTGATGAAAGGTCATCAACATGAAACATTAACTAATTTTCCTCTCTCCATAGATGCTGCCTGACCTGCTGCATGTTCCGAACGACTTCTGTTTTTATTCCACTTCACAATGTATTCTATAAAGTGCTTTGAGGTGTTTTAACGATGTGATAAAACATAAGGCGCTATATCAAATGCAAGGATTATTATTATTATTCAAATGAGGAAACTGAGCGGTGCACTGTCAGCATTCTCAATTCTGTAATACTATCTAAAAAAATAGAATTATAGAGAACATTATAGCATGGAAACAGGCAATCGGGCCTAACTAATCCATTTCAGTACAACAAATTACATTTACACAGCACCTTTCACGTCAGGAGGACATCCCAAGGCGCTGGATTGTTAGGGATTTGGACTTGAACAGGGGTTTGGGATAAGGAAGGGTGGAGCGCAGGGAGGGTAGGGGTAGGAGAGTGATTGAAAGTGCAGTTCAAGAGGAGGGTCTTGAAATGTGCCTTGAAGGAGGCAAGGGGGGTGGGGGTTTGGGGCGCAAGGCGAAGGGATTGTGGGATGGAGTTCCAAAGACAACTTGCATTTAGATATAGCTTTCTTCATGCAAAATAGTGTCTCAGAGCAAATGCATTTATGCTCCACATGGACCCTCCAATATTATTCTATTCCCTTTTCCTAAAACAACAAAGATTTGCCATTAAATGACTAATGCAATGAAAATGACTAATGCAATGAAAATGTAGAGTCTTACAAGAAATAATTACAGCCGCAGACAAGTTCCACTGTGATGTGAGATCAGAATTCAAAACTTCCCTTAAATCAATACAGATTGCCAATTTCACAGAAACCAGAAGATAGTGGCTAGGGAAGTGAAAAATCTCAAACAGGCAAGGCTAAAATGATCAAAGTTTAATTATTCATCACTGGCATCTCATTTATCTCAATTAGTCCATTAAAAAAAACAGAAATATACTTTTTACCTCTCCAATCTTTTCCTTCTACTCCCCTCAAAGATGAAGCATTTATTGAAAATGTAGTTAAATTAATGTTTAAAAGGTTAAATAGTAACTTTTCCATAACAATACAGACAAGCTTTGTGATAAATGGTTGCATTTTGCCTGGGAGCTTCAATCAGCTGCCATACATTGGAGCTCAGTGGTTAAGAGCACTCGCCTCTCAAGCGAGAGACTTGGGTTTATTTCCCAGCAGAGCAAAATGTTGCGAAAGTTTCCTTATACCACAAGCCTCTGTTTAGCTAGCAGTAAGTAGGAATCTGGTTGTTAGTCAATTGGCGGATTGCTTTTCCGGGGGTAATAATTCCTTAAAGAAAAATTGGTCACTTCAATCCATGACTGTTTGTCGGACACTGCTTTGCACAATTGGCTGCCACGTTTCATCCACAAAATTTAGTCAATTCACTTTAGAGTGTATTCTGGGAAGTGCTTTAGACATCTCGAAGACATAAGGCGCTCTATCAAATGCAAGGATTATTATTAGTACATGCACCCTTCCAGTAGAGGGTACTGAAGAGGGACCAGGACCAGCAAACCTCGCTGCTTTGTCAGCCTCCCTAACCCTCCCTATACAGGCCGGGCTTAGACCAGCAAGGACAAGGATGCAAACCAGCAAGTTCCTGGTCTATAAGCTGCAGCTCTACCCACTACACCATTGGAGTTGTCTCCTCGCCTGTCATTCTTTACCCTATATACAAGAGAGAATTTATCCCACACAATTCATTCAATTCACCATAATTGAGAATTGTTTTTCCCCTTATAGAATACCTTTTGCATTACTACAACAACAAGATTACATTTATAGAGCGCCTTTCATGTGGGGAGAACGTTCCAAAGCACTGAACAGTCAGGGGTCGGGGCCCGAGCATGGGGGAGGGATGGTGTAGGGGTGAGGGAAGGCAGAGAGGTGGGAGGGCGACCAAAGGCACGATCGAAGAGAAGGGTCTTGAGACCAGCCTTGAAGGAGGCAAGGGAGGAAGTGAGGTGAAGGGACCATGGATGGAGTTCCAGAGTGTGGGGGCAGAGAGGCTGAAAGCCTGGCCACTGATGGTAGGGCGGGTCGGGTGGGAGACGTGGAGCAGACCAGAGTCCGCTGAACGGAGGGAGCGGGCAGGTTGGTAGGGGGTCAGCAGGTCAGAGAGGTATGAGGGGGCAAGGCCATGGATGGCCTTGAAAGTGAGGACGAGGATCTTGAATTTAAATTAACCCTCCTTTCCCCTCCCCTCCCTTCTACCCCCTGACCCCAACTCGGATCTGAAATGCCGTACTCTGTCCAGCGCCTTGGGGACGTCCTCCCGATGTGAAAGGCACTATACAAATGTAATCTTGTTGTTGTTGTTGCTGAATTTGATCCTCTGAGGGATGGGGTGCCAGTGGAGTAGGGCGAGGGTGGGAGTGATGGGGTCACTGTTGAATATCTTTTACATATCAAATGAGTTTTTATAGGTATAAAGAGTGATGACATCTACAATAGTGAACTGACGAAACTAAATTTCAGAGAGACAACTTTACGTTTGAAATTCAACAGTGTATCAGATGTTGTGTCGAGTATTCAGAATCCGTCAATGAAAATATAGAGTGAAATCTGTTGCATAATATGTTTGACATTTTTAAATATGGAAAGTCAGTAATTTTCCTAACCTTTTTCCTACTACTACCTTCTGGAATCAAGTGCTTTATAATGGGCTATGTTTTCACGAGCAGCATCACCCCCCTTAACTCCTCTGCACCGTTACGTTCTACTCAAGAGTCATGTGGCAGGTTAATCATCAGTAATGCTCTGGAATACTGTGGTCCTGCCTTATTCAGGTATTGACTAAGACCACCACAAAGGCTGTACTCGATTCCAATTTTTATTGTCAGGAGTGTCACTTCAGAGCTACCTCTTCCCTCCCTCATCCAATTGAGGATACCTTACCTGGGATATTACCGGTCTGTTTGGATTACATTTTCTCAATGATTTTAACAATCAATTGAATTTCATCAGTGCATCAGCATTGTTTCAACTGTAGCTGAGGCAGCAAATAATTCCAATTTGTATGTCATCAGTAGAATAATGAAATATTTAATTCAAAACATTAAATGGTTAATATTTGTATTAAAATAAATCTACAGCAATAGATTTACATTAATCTACAGTAATTTCATATCTGTCCACTTTTTAGAATTTTAGTCTAGGAAATTCTCAAGATACAAGCTGTCAAATTTGTTCACAGAATCCATGGGCATAAATTTGTGTTCCAAGAAGAAAATGACTCACCAAGACAACAACCAAGCAAACAGTTTCTTTATTATGAGATCTACAACTGAGGTTCAGATGAAGAAAGCCTTATAGCCCATCTGATCTCATCATTTCAAAATACCAACCCTGTCAACCTTCACTAAATCTGTTTCTAAATTAATTTAAGGTCCTGCTTTCAACTATCTTCAGTCTTTGCTTTTAAATTGCTTATTTCTCTCTTTAGTGTCCACCAAAATATTAGTTTAATTATATTGAGTATATCGGGGGGGAAAATTCGTTCAATAAATAAATTGGTAACTCAATCCACGGACACTGCTGTGCGCAATTGGCTGCCCTGTTTCGCCTACAAGATACACAGTCAACTTTCCAGTACTTTACAGTATATCCTATGAAGCCCTTTGAGACGCCTCGAAGACCCGATGAAGCTCTATATCAAATGCAAGCATTATTATTATAATATCAAGTCATGCCTCTTATTTGAGCAATCCCAATCAGAAACGCTGCTTCTGTTCATCAGACAACTACATTATACATTTAAGCATTTTATGTTCATTTGACAACAAGTCACTGGTTAAATCAAACGTTTTTATCTTTTAATAATTTATATGTAATAAAAAGAGAAACAACAGTAACAAGAATATTTATGTTTGCGGATGTCTGTGGAGAATAGGAAAAGCCTCTGCCGAGATGTGTCCCGTGATCGAACATTCTGGTAATTACATCTGGCCTAATACATGAAAAAAGACTACTTGGGTAAAACACTGTACACTGTGTAACTGTGAAACTATTGGAATACTTTCAAAGTCACTGCCTTCAGAATATTAGGGAAGAAAACTGCATACAGAGCATATGAGGCCAATAGCATACAGAGCATATAGAGGATATGAGAGCAACTGTTCATCATACGTTTAATTAATGTACTGTTTTATTGTGTTGAACTGTCCAAAAGATGGCGCTCAAATCTTATTTTATGATATCCACAGTTCAATATGTATATCAATAGCATCTCAGTGTCTGTTTTCATTTAGTTTTTGATGCATGGTCCTCTAGTACCTGTGCATAAGAATGGGAGATTATTATTCATGGGGGGAGCACATTTTCCATGGCAGGGTTTCCAGAAAGCAAATTTTTATGTACAAATTGAAAAACGTTCTATATCAATATTATTGGAAATGAAATAATTTTAAAATAAGATTCTGTTGATTTTAAAATTAAATATGTTGGATACAGAGGCTAGCAGTGGATGTAAGAAAAATAGCAGTCATTTTGAGGAGGGGCATTGCAGCAACAAGAGTACGTATAACTGCAGTATCACAGTCAATTAACAACAGCATTGGGAGTTGCTTTGGGACAGTCTTAAAAGAGCAATGAACCTGCAGTCAGCTTCCAGACGGTGAACGCAGAAGAGGATACCAGTAGTTTTCGGGAAGGAAGGCAGCAGTTTGAGAACAATCCTAATTGCAAAGGAATACAGCAGGTGAAACTAAACTTTTATCTTATTAATTAGGGTTAGGTGATCCTTCAGATTATGTAGATTTCATTCTTTTAGATAATAATAATAATCCTTGCATTTGATATAGCACTTTTCACGTCATCTAGATGTCTCAAAGCACTTCACAGAATATGCTGTAAAGTGAATTGACTGTATATTTGTGGGCGAAACACGGCAGCCAATTGTGCACAGCCGTGTCCCACCAACAGTCATGGATTGAAATTATTTAAATTGATATTGAATGTTTAAAAATTACATTGCCCATGAGAATTGTTTACCAAATTAGTGTTCTTCAAAGTAGGGCCTCCAAATATATAAAGACGGATTCAGTCCAGGGAGTCGACCAAGTTCATGAGACATGTTTAAAGGTTTCTGAAAATGTTCTAACTCTATCCTTCTGTGTAGGAATATCCACCCTCATGTTTGTAGAATGCCCAAACTGATAACTGTTTGTAACACTCTATTTCTCTAAATGCGTCTTCCTATAAATTTTGAATTTCTGTGGCAAAAAAAGATTCCTAACAGTACTTTTGGTGTTCCCCAATAGAATCAATGTTTGTCTGGAAATAATGGAATTGGTACCAATATTTATTCATAGAACATAATAAATTCATTAAGAAATATCACAGATACCATAGATCCCAATGTGGGGTTACTATCTACATCAGTCTAAATTACATACAAATTTCCAGATCATCATTATCCCATTCTATGAGTATAGCATTAATTTTAGGTTCCTTCTTTCTCATGATGTGAATCAGTTGGGCGTAAAGGGTCTGGGTTTGTTGTTATAAATTAACATGAAGTCTTCCTCCAGGTTAAATTGTATCTCATGTCTTTTAATCCAAATTTATTTCCAAAATCAATTAATCGTTTAGATTTTGAATGTTTAAGTATGTGTAAGACTGCAATGTTTACCAAATTATTGTTATTGCAAAGCAGGTCTAAATATATGAAGCTGGGTTGTGACTTGGGAGGTTGTTGACCCAGATAACTGTTATGTTTTCCTATTTAACAACAATGTACAGCAAAATAGCAACAATTTAAAAAGCTGTACTTTTTGTCCCCCTCACAATTTGTTTTTACAGTGGGTCAATATCCTCACTGTCCAGCGCCTTGGGACGTTCTCACGACGTGAAAGGTGCTATACAATTGTAATTTGTTGTTTTGGATTAATGTGCTGTTGCCATGAGTTTGTGTGAATTATGTAAGTGTTTTTCAAAACTGGACATGCTCTGATAAGACTGGTTTTAATGAAAGTTGAAAATGAGGAATTAACTACTGTACCTGTTTGCTTTTTGGATTAGGTCACACCACTTCAACCAGTTTCTTTGGAAAAGTTGCAGATGTAAAGTTGATACCATTATAATTCAATCAGTAAAACGTACCTTACTGTAAGTTTTATTATATTATATTCTGTGAAGCACTTTGACACGTCTCAAAGACATGATAAGGCACTATATCAAATCCAAGGATTATTATTATTATCATGACTTAACTTGTCTGTTTTTATTGCTCTAAGTGTCAGACAAGTATTAGGAGATTGCCTTCTTTGTTCTAGAACCGGGAGGTATCAAGAAGAACGAAGGCTAAGTGAAGCTAAGTTCCTCTTATTGACGTTATAGAAATATTATGAATGCTGTTGGTCCAAAACATCAACATTTCCATGGGAACAGAATTCTTGACAGAACTACGACAGAACTATATTCTCGTTGAAGTGTAGGATATGTGCTCCTGATTGTCAAGAGCGCCATAATGATTTATACTTCACTTCACATGCAACTTGATTCTTACGCTGTTCGTCGCCGACACTGATAGATATATGAACTGCGACCGCATAACCTCGTGAAGCAGCCAACGAGAGTGAATAACACCTGAATTTCTGAAGATCTGTTGAAACAATGGCCTCGATCCACACGCTTTCAGGGAAAATAAGGAGATGGGATATTCCCGTCGCACTCGGCAAACGTAAGCAATGGCCAGTTAGAGCGTTTCACACTCACACTCGTGTGCACTTGCAACCGACTCACTTAATCCATTTGATAATAAATACCTCACCAGTAGTCAAAAATGCTGGATGCATTTCGTTCAATCTCGATATTGATCAGCGAACGGTTTCTGTCGGGGCTGAAAAAAGTTCAGAGTGATAGAATATTTGAAGGACGCATCGAAACGAGTTGGGCTTCGTAAGACTTTGAGATGCTCCGCGCTGCGAATAGGGACCATTCAGTGGCAAGTTCATTCTCAACGGTGATTAGCCAAGTACCGCATTCATCGTAACCCGACTGGCGGATCACTTTCCGGGTGGGGGTGGGGGGGGGGGGGGGGGGGTGACAACAATCCCTTCCAAAAATATACCGTTTTGGGTCATTCGGTTCCCCGAGACGCCGCCGTGCGCCATCGGCTGCCGCGTTTCGCCGGCAAAAACACGCGGTCACTACGCTGCGGGGCCGGTGCATTCTGTGAAGCGCTTCGGGACGTTTCGAAGACGTGATAAGGCGCCGCGTCCAGTGCGAGGATTATTCTCCTTATTTATTAGCCATTGTTCTAAGGGGTATATCTTTAAGCAGAAAAAAAACGAACGCGGTACTTACACAGAGAGCTTCTTATTTGGTCAACATTTCGTTTCTTTTGCACACGTACGTGGATAAAATTTATGTATACAAATTGATTATTTAATGTAGATCACACACACACACACACACATATATATCTACGTATACAGAAAACCCTCGAGATAACGGTTTAAAAGTGACCGTTTATTTTCAAACGGAGCAAACCGCCCGCCCGCCCGCGCGAGGGCTCGATCGGGCGCTCTCGCGGCGTCGCGTTTGTAGCCCAACGACCCGCCAAACACGTAGCCCCCAAAAAGTAGCCCAACACTAACGCACTGCACTCCCGTGGATGGGGATGGAAGAGCGGCCGAGTTTACAGTCGTTAAGTCCCTTTCTTTTTTTAAAAAAAAAACACACACGTTTTGCCGGTTTAAATGACATTGCAAAACATTAAAAACCCAGGGACACCCCCCCCCCCCGCCCCCGCCCCAAACCGCACGGTGGCTTTGGGCGCATTCCGTCGCTAAAACACGCACAATTTGGGCGTGAAATCCGCCCAATCCGCCGCCGCACCCCCGAAGCCGCGGTTACCCGAGGTAACCGCGCGAGGGCGGGAACTGCGCAAGCGCGCGGTGGGTCGGGTAGGGGGACGGGCGGCTCGAGCGAGGGGACGGCACTGCGGGAAAGGGGTTTGCGCATGCGCCGGAGGGGTTGGCGGCGTCTGCGAGCGAGCGAGCGAGTGAGTGAGTGACTGAGCGCCGCTGAACTGAGCCTCGGCCGGACTCGGAGCGGTTGGCGCTGTTTGTGTGTGTGTGAGGGAGGGAGGGAGGAGGGAAAGAGTCAAGAGACGATTTAATGCGGCCGAACCGCGAGGTGGTGGTGGTGGAGGAGGAAGAGGAGGAGGTGGTGAGGGGGGGAGAGGAGGAGTGAAGAGCGAGCGCGAGCGTAGAAAACGAAGCAGAATCGTTCGTGTAAATAAGCCCAAGGTACCGTCTTCTCTATTTTACTTCCCCGTCATTTCCCTCCGGGTTCATCTCATATATATATATGTATATGTGTGTGTGTGTATATGTATTAAAAAAAAGGGGTTTCTGTACGTTTTGTGGTGGTGGTGGGGGGTTGCGACTCCCGCACACACACACACACACGCACACACACACACACACGCACACGGTGATTGTTGCACTGGTTTCCTTCGCCCATCGTGGTGTGGTGATGGTGTGGTGGTGTGTGTGTGTGTGTGTGTGTTGGGGGGAAGAGGAAAGCGAGAGTTGAACGTGTGTTCTCGTCTTCTCTTCTTCCACACAACACACACACACATACAACACACACACACACACATCTTACCATCACCACCAACTCTCGTGTGAATCAGCTGCTCAGTGTGTAAGAGGTCGCATGAATAGCTTCGGTTGGAGAGAGGTCAGGGTGGAGTGGCACTGAGTCGTGGTGGGTGGAAAAGAGTGGTGGGTGGAGGGGGAGTGGGTGGTGGGGTGGGGGGGGGATTGGTATCTTTGAGGCTGAGAGAGAGGGAAGAATTTAATCGCTGTTTTGGCGTGTGATCCTATGGTGTTTTTTTTGATCTTCTAAACCGCAACTCGATGCACAGTGTGTGGGGCACCTTTTTTTTAAAAAAAATCTATACTGTGTATTTTTTATATATGTATATTTATATATAGTGTTTTTTTCCCCACAGTTTAAGGGAATGGTATTTTATCCATTGGGGCAATTTTACCTTTTTTTTGGGGTGGGGGGATTTCAGATTGTATTTTTTTTCCAAGGTGGGGAGGAAGCAGTGGGTGTTTTCACTTATTTATTGTTTGTTGCTTTTGCTTCAGCTTTTTTTTACACACACACATTTTGAGATTGGCGTGTTTTCATTGAAAACCCCTCTCTGCATTATGGTGCTCGTGCAATTTTTTTTCTAAGAGCAGGTTTTGCAAGTGGCCTTAAATGATTCAAAATGTGCAAAATTGCAGTGTTGAAATCTTGGCTCCAGTTCAACAAGAGCTCTTAAGCCTATATTTTCACCCCTCTACCCCAACCCCACAACAAGGTTCCCTCCATGTGCCCGTTGGCCCCATCTTTACCAGGTGCCACTCGCTCCCTGTGGGTCATGATCCTCATCCTCACTTCAAAATCCCCACATAGCCCACTTACCTCCTGCTCCTTCTCCTGCCCATTTCCTTCACTCTGTAAACTCAGGTGGTTCTACATTCTCCCCGTGCCCTCTCTCCCGTCTTCAAAGCCCTTCTAATATCCTGCTGCTTCGACTGTGCATTTATTTGGTCAGATTCTACCTACTGTACTTGCCTTCCTCTCCAGCACAGTGTCCCACACCATCGATCTACCTTACCCCCCCCAACCCCCCCCCCCCCACCTTTTCCCCTCTGCACTGCACCCAAGGTCATTCATGTGGTGTGTTTTGAGAAAGCTGCCATACAAGTGCAAATTTATTGTTGGTGTATTACCTACAGAAAAGTGGTATTCCCATTCATCATTTTACTTTTTTTAATACCGTGGAAAATTCATATTGGATGGTTTGGGTAATGTGTGTGTGGCATGTCCACATAGAAAGCATGTGAGTGGAATCTTAATTAAATTCTACAAGAAGTCTCCCAGTGGCCTTGCATTTTATTTTAATAACTACATTTTAATAGTTGCCTATTAGTTTTTGGAGCAGCCTCCTTTCTGTATTTGCTTCCTAGACTGGAACCGTAAAGGCACTTTTGCAGGCTTCCAGGCAGTAACTAATTTTAATTCATACACTGTTTGCTATGTTGGTAGATTATCCTTGCAGTTATGCATCCATCACCAAAGCATTTTTCCGCCAAATGGCTGGGTCAAGAGTCTGTTCTCTTTCCGCTTTCTTGAGCACTACTGGAATATATGCATGGAGAGCTATTGGGTAAGGACGCGATCATGAGTAGGCTGACCTGTGATGTCCTTCACGATCCACTAACCTTCTGACATTAGTGTCTGGATGTGTACATAAACAACAACAACAACTTATATAGCACCCTCCACGCAGGATAGTGTATCAGAGTACTTAACAGTGGCGGAGCCTGACTCTGAGCTAGGCAGTGGGAGGTGGCCGTAAGCACGGTTGAAGAGGACTTGAGAAGGGTGAGAGAGGGGGCAAGGCGGGGGATTTGAGAAAGAGTGTTCCAAGTTTCGGGGTGTAGTGGCTGAAAGCGTGATCTCTGATAGTGGGGCTGAGGATGTGAGAGATGAGAAGGAGGCCGGTGTCAGTCGAGCGGAGGTGCCAGGTGGTGGATTGGGGAGTGAGGAGATAGGGAGGTGCCAGAGAGTGAAGGGATTTGAACACAAGTGTAAGGATCTTGAAGTTGATCTGTTCGGTGATTGGGAGCCAGTAGAGCCTGGCCAGAACTGGTGAGATGTGGGTATTGAGTTTGGTCTGGGTAGGGATGCGGGTGGCAGAGTTCTGAATGAGCTGGATCTTTTGAATAGTGGATCTGAGGAGACCGGTGAGTAGTACAGGTGGGAGGTGACAAACGCATGCACGGTGGTTTCAGCTGCATTTGGGGTAAGGTACGGGCGGAGGTGGAAGAAGGCAGTCCTGGTCAGGGACCAAATGTGGAGGAGGAAGGACAGTTGGGGGTTGAACCGGATGTCTAGATTGCGCACTGGTTCGGTGAGTGTGAGGGAGAGCCCAGGGAGGTTGAAGAGTTCAGATCCACAGGAGTGAAGACATTGATGGGAGCCAAGGAGTGTGGCTTCCATATTGTCCACATTCAGCTGCAGGAAGTTTGCACTCATCCAGGCCCTAATGTCTGCCAGATAAGTTGATAGAACATTGGTGGACCTGGAGTTGGTACTGGAGGAGGCAATGTAGACTTGTGTCGTCCACAATCATATGGAAGGTTACCCCGTGTCTGCGGATGACATCGCCCAGAGGGAACATATAGATAAGTAAAAGAAGAGGGCAAGGGATGGAGCCCTGGGATGCCCTGCAGGTGACTGGGCGGGGGTGGGAGGAGAAACCATTTGCAGAGGTGAAATGGAGGCGGTTGGTTAAGTAGGACTCGAACCATGTGAGTGCGGTCCCACTAAGATGGATGAGAGAGGAGAGGCGGTGGAGGAGGATGGCATGTTCGACTGTGTGGAACGCGGCAGAGAGATCCAAGAGGATGAGGAGGCAGAGGGAATCCTGGTCACAGATAGAGAGGACGTTGTTTGTGACTTTGACAAGCGCTGTCTCTGTGCTGTGGGCGGAACAAAAACCCGACTTCCGCGGCTCGTGGAGGGAGTGGTGTGACCGAAGTTGACTTCCAACAATGCATTCCAGGACTTTGGCAAGGAATGGTAGGTTAGAAATGGGACAGTAGTGTGAGAGATGAGAGCAATCAAGGGTGGGTTTTTTGAGGAGGGATGTGATAATAGCGGTTTTCAGTGGGAGTAGAACAGAGCCTGAGGAGAGAAACTGGTGGACCATGTCGGGATGTGAAGGAGGGTCAAGACAGCAGTTGGTGGTGGTGAATGTCATGCAGATGATTGTGGTTGAGAGGGAGGAGGGAGAAATGGGGGCAAAGGAGGGAAGAGTGGCAGTGGCCTCGGCAGAGGCAGAAGGTGGTGTGTATGGTCTGGGTGGGGTGAAGAGGAACGTGGGTGTGGCGGGGGGGTGCCTCCAGGATGACCTTGGAGTCAAAGTCAGTGTTGGCCTGTGAAAGGTGGGTAGGTGCTCAAAACACAGCTGGTGGTGAATCTTTGAAATCACCCATTATGAGCAGGTGTTCAGTGCAGAGGGACAGGGATGAAAAGAGAGAGGAGATATCAGTGAGGAAGGAGCCAGGAGGTTGGGGGAGGGGGCAGTAAGCTAGGAGGATTTCGAGGGAGAGAGAGGGAAGGGATGGTAGCGGATGTGGTTCTCAAAAGAGGAGAAATAGCCAGAGAAATAGGGAGATAAGCCAAGGGAAGCTTGGGAAATGAGGACCACTCCACTGCCACGTTGGTTGGGGCAGGGCGTACATGAAAAGTGTAGCCGTGAGGGGAGTTTGAGGAGCAGGAAGAGTTGGGGAGGGTATGGATGAGGGAGAGGGAAGGGGTGTTTGCCTTTTGGAGGCTGTTGGTGCAGAGAGAGTGATGGGACAGTTGAGGTAACTGCTCTGGGGCAACTAACACCGGAGCCACGATGGGCCTGGCAGAGGATGCCCAGGTAGGAGCAGAGGGAAGTAATGGTGGGGACCAGGAGGGAGAGAAGGACAGAGTGGGAGTAGCTGGTGTGCAGAGGTAGGAGCAGGACTAGCCACTTGGACATGTTACTGGAGGGTACAGGTTTTTGAAAATGTCCCGTTCAGAAGGGGGACATTTGTGGGATGGGGAAAAAGAAAGAATGTTGTGCTAATAAAGTACATTTTATAAACCATCATATATTAGTTTATGATGCTGAGTGTGAGATAACAGCCCTGGAAAATACTGTAGTATCTGCTTCAGACTTTTAATGTGAATCTGGTTGCTGTAGAAACAGCCTTGCAATATAAATGCAGCTGATAGTGTAGATAGAACCACTTCAAAAAGCATTTGTGAACTATAAATAAGATACAGTAAGTTCATCTGCTTTATCATTATTCCTTGAAAATAGTTGGCATGAATCTTAAAGGTTGCTTTATCTAACTTAATTTGATTTATAAATATTTGTTTTCTCCTCTTATAGTACTGTAATATTTTCAGTAGGTTCTGGGCTTCAGTTGTTGTAGATGAATAAGTTAGTATTAATGACCGTACCCTTAGGAATGACCTGTGTTCTGTCCTTCATCAGGCTTTGCAAGCACATCGCTTCAATCCTCACCAGGCTTCGCTGGCTCCCTTTTTCCCCAGCAGATCGACTTTTAAGATCTTTGTTCGTTCTTTGAAATGCTTCTTCCATGCCCTTGCACCATTTTACCTATGTGATTCTCTGCAGCCAGCTCCTTCCACTCTAACTTGGTTTTGTGGTGGGCAAGCTTTCAGACACTATTCCTCGGCT